CCATCCGACAACAGTTTTGGATACCGAATTTGAAATCGCTCCTCAAGGAAGTTCAGCGAAGGTGCCAGCAGTGTATGATCGACAAAGCAAAGCCAAACCAACCTATGATGGGTCAGCTGCCGGTCGACCGCATAACTCCGTTCATGCGCCCATTTACTTATACAGGCGTTGACTTGTTTGGCCCTTTTAATGTCACCATCGGAAGGCGCAAGGAGAAAAGGTGGGGCGTTATATTTACCTGCCTGACAGTTCGAGCTGCACACATCGAGCTAGCTGCTAACCTGAGTACCGATGCGTTCATTTTATGCCTGCGGAATTTTGTAAACCGACGTGGAACGCCATCCAGAATAAGGAGCGATAATGGAACGAATTTTATTGGCGCACAAAGGGAGTTGAGAGCAGCTGAGCAGTTGTTAGACACAGACCGCATTCAAGATGAGGCTAGCAGACACAACATCGAGTGGATATTTAACTGTCCGCTGAACCCCAGTTCGGGTGGCTGCTGGGAGCGTTTGATAAGGATTATAAAGTCGCTGTTAAACAAGACGTTGCGTGAGGTAGCTCCAAGACCCGACACTCTGCACAGCGTATTAATAGAAGCGGAGAATATCATCAACTCGCGACCGCTAACTGACCTGCCCATAAGCCATGAAGAAGATGAGCCGCTAACACCCAATCACTTCTTGTTGGGATGCGTAAATTCAACGCAGACGCCGCACCCAGTTGACGAGAAGGTTTGCCTAAGGAAGCAGTGGAGAATCGCGCAGAACCTCAAGGATCGGTTATGGAAGCGATGGACAACCGAGTACCTGCCTCAGCTACTATGCCGCACCAAATGGCAGGACAAAGCAATACCGCTTCAAGCTAATGACCTGGTGATATTGTGCGACTCAACGCTGCCCCGCAGTCAGTGGTTACGCGGCCGCATAACTCAAGTTTTTCCAGCCAAAGACGGACAAGTACGTGTCGTGGAGGTACGAACGAAGGGCGGACTTCTACGCAGACCAGTTTCGCGTTTAGCAAACCTAGTGGTTGGTGGTGAATCCTGTGAGGATTCACGGGGGGCGGGATGTTAGCAACCCTGGTAGTTGCTAAAAGTGGCAACGCCGCGAATAAGAACTGCAACCAACTTTGATATGTTTTTCTCGTCGGCCATTACATGAGAGAAGGACTCCAGACAGCGCGCGAACAGAACACAAGTGTAAAACGCTCCACGCTTCACGCTTAAACTTCAACCTACAACGTTCAGCCTACGATTTCTTAACAACTTGCCGACTGCCGTTTAATCCTTCGTATTTTATATGTTTTAAATGTACAAGTTACGCGCATACGTGTTTGNGGCGGCCTTCGACCGAACTTAAAGCAAAGGAATCGGGCGGGACCCACACCGCCTACCTCATGGGCAATATTTTTGCACAGGGGTTCGTGACCGGAAACCCTCATTGATAATAATACACGCCCAGAATAAAAGTAGCGGTAAATTTTCATTTTCTTTTGTATTCCTTTTTAAACATTGCCTTCTTTGTATGTATTGTTTTGAACAATATGGCAACACATGTTATGTGTCAGTTTGCAACCATGTGTTATTGTAAATATGGGTGCAATTCAATGTAATTTACAAGTCGATAAAAGTTGAATTAAAGTGATTTATATACAAGATAAAATAAAATAAGAGTGTGTAAAGTATTAAGTACAGTGTTATGTGCATTTATATATATGAAAGTATGTGACAAATGCAGTTTTTGTTAAGGAAACCAAGTGGAACGACTTGAAAAATTTTAACAACAAATAACTTATAAACAATGATATTGTTTATATTTTTTAGTTATACATGTTTTAGAGGATACCTTCTTTAACATCCTGACCGAGTTTCATTTGTTAATTCCACCTGGTTTTCTTAAAACAAAAGGTGCGGCTGACTACTAAAGCCCACACAGTGTGTTTTTTAAAAAGTATTCGATACTAAGAGTACTTTGCAAATTATCGAGTAAAATTACCAAATAAGGTATCGAGTATTAAAGTACACATTTTTATACCCTCAGTATCGATACATACTCAATATCGATAGTATCGTTCGATCTCTAACTGTGACTGTGATCCCATTAGCTGATTGTGGATCATAATTATGGGATAACAAATGTGTAGTTGTGTAGATATTGTAAAATTTAAGTTGTCGAAAAATAGCTTTGCCAAATACCAATCTTAACAGTTCTAACCGAAATACACTTTACAAAATGATGCAATTATTCGGAAGGCTACCAAAAAATATTTTCCGATCGAATCTGCTTGGCGCATCGGCCCGCACATGTTTTTACAATAGGTTCAACTCTACCGAAGTCCAGCCAGTGTCAATATCAGAGGGTAAATTTTTAGAGAAGGCTAGGCTTTTGTATTTACGTATGTACATAAATTGTAGATTTCCGGAAAAAGCAAATACTTTTCAACATAAAATCGGAGAACGTAGAAGGTAGACCGCTATATCTTGACGCCCAGGCGACCACGCCACTGGTAAGAAGGATTAGGGTTGGCTTTCCTATATGTGCGCTTTTGTTTTAATGGGTGGGATTTAGTACCGCTCACAACTATTTCGGGCTATTCCGTCCAAATGGGTGGCCCGATCCAAAAAAAAATTTCACACACTTGTAGTCAAGGGTCGACGCAATATTTTAACACTCACTTTTGTAAATTTTGGTAACTAATTTATTTACAAATTGGGTTTGAAATATGCCCTTTTTTGTAAAATTCGGAAATTAGCGTACATTTATCACTCCTATTCTGCTTAAATTAGCCACTTTACCAATATATTTTTGTATTCCCCTTCACTTTACACTTTACTTGATTTGTTATAACTTGCTTTACGACTTTAATATTAACCAATTCATCACAATTCATTAAATAAAAACACCTTCAAAATCACGCGTCTGACTTTGGTTGCATATGCAAATT